TACGCAAAGTATAGTGACTATCTCCAGTTCCAGCATGGCCAGGATGGAGAGCCATCTTCCCCCGTGATCCGCTCCTAAGTGTGCTACTACACCACAAATGTGTTTTTTGTACTTTTTCCTCAATGGTTCCCAAAGCCCCTGCTGATCCCTGGCTCCCTTTTTTTCCAAGTTGTTGTAGAGGTTGGATGCCAGACAAATGACAGTCACCTTTGGTAGTCGGCAATTTGGATATCCCGCTGGTCTGTAGAGGTCCCTTTTCCTTATGAGACTTCCCCCCTTTCACTCTTGTTATTTTTCTCCCCGGTGCACCCCTACTCCCACAACCCTGCCTCAGTGTTCACCACTCAGGATTATCACCCACCCATCATCCGCATGGGGATGACCTGACCAGAGAGTGGTTGTGGGCACCAGGGCTGCGTACGACATACCCAGCTCAGCCCTGATCGAAGCACGGTCGAACAAGCGCTGTTGTACGTGAACTTCGAGAGCTAGGTGTAGACGTTCTTCTACAAGTCCCATAGGAGAACCCATTCGTGTCCTCCAAGCCATTTCCTTGTTCTGCTCGTACCTTGTTGTATTGTTCATTATATGTACCACTGTTATTGTAATAGCAACGTAGAGGTTCTAGCCTATTATCAGCAGATGTACGCCTCTCTACCTATAGACGTCCCCCTAGACCCTTCTGTGGTCACATTCTTGTGGTTGTACTATGGTTATTGATTATTTCCATGTTCTCACGCCGATTCGACACGACATGCCCAAGCAGTGTGACAACAACAGCCCCGCCTCCCTGTTCGTCCTTCTCCTCGGCCGCAGCGTGGCTGCGGCGGGTCCCACTTGTACAGTTTAAATAGTAGAATTGCGATTTGCAATTCAAACAGTTGTCTTTCGGGACATCCATTAAAATTGGAAGGATACAGAGACGATTAGAATGTCCCCTGCGCAAGGATTACACACATAAATAGAGAAATGGTCCTAATTAAAAGAAAAATGAAAAATGAATTGCAATTTGCAATTCAAACAGTTGTCCACAGAAGAACAACCCAAAATAATTCTTAACGGAATTCTAGGGGAATGAATGCAATATCCTCCTAGACTAGATCTGTTCTGGACGTCTGGGGCAAGGTTCTGCTTGGACAAATTAAGAGATACTGGCCATTGATCTTCCTCCTTATATGTTCAAGTGTGACCTTGCACCAGTCTATGCTCTCTGGAAAAAGGGGGGTTATGGTGTCTGAAAGGGTCCAGACTGCAGACTCGAGATTGTGGTTTCGGTTCTGGACAATCTGGATGCTGTCTGGATGGTCCACATTCTCATGCTGGATGGGACGAATTAAGAGATACTGGCCATTGATCTTCGTCCTTATATGTTCAAGACTGTTATTCTGATCGTTGTTGGTTGTAAGCCATCTGGAGGTACCCTACCCTCTGTGCTTTGGTGGGTCTATGGCCACCAGGATCTCAAAATTTTCTCATGGTAAACTGACTCAACCAAAATATTGTCCCCAAGCATTATCCTTTTTTTTTTTTTTTTTTTTTTTTTTTTTTTGGGGAGCATCAGTCCGGTTCCTATTCCACCGGCAAGTCAGAAATGATTACAAGGTACTCTCACACGCTCCTCCCCTTTATGGTAGGAAGGCCCGAAAGACGGCATTGATTACTTCCCATGGGAAGGATGTACCATCATTCACCCCTGCCTAAGTTAGCCTATTTGACGTAATCTTGGGCTTGTAAGGCCTCTCGGGGTTGTGGACGCTGTACTGTGGTGTCTGTCTGTCGGACTATCTGAGCTTTCCCTARTTCTTCCTCTCAGCTGTAAGGCTGTCAGATCTGTGTGTATTGCTGGTAGAGCTAGGTWTGTCTTCCACTGTCTCTCTAACTATGGTCTTTAGTCCTAATCTTCTAAGGGCTGCAGTGTTTTTTATCCTTAGATGAATCGGGTGACTTTTCTCAAAAGGCCAAATCCTAAGCCCTTGTCTGTTTTCTGTCTAAGTGAATGGGGGGGGGGGATAATCCCAGGGTGTATATTCTTGGCGGAAGGTTGATCAGTATAAGGGGAGTCTGGTAGGTATGGGATAAACAGGCGGGGTTGGTGGTAATTCTTCGGTGGATTGGAGGGAGTTGGGGTGGGGAAGAAGCTGGGGGATGTACAGAGTATGAGTTTTGCTGCGTAGAGGTTTGGCTTTGGGTGTGAGGGAGGTGACTAGTTAAGTAGTGTTTGGGCTGTTTTTGTGGAGTTGCAGGGAGGTTAGTAGGTGATGTTAAGTGTTTCCAAGTGTTTTGTTGTTATGTTGTGACGTCTGCTCTATTTTGTAGACTGTGGGGGTCTGTTTCTGGGTTGTCGATCTGCGGGCTTGTTGTGTCTCTGATCGGTCTTTGTGGGTGCTGGGGTGTCATGGTTAACCAGTCCTTCATTACTAGTTTGTTTCTTTCTATGGTGCCCAAGTTTCCTCCTCTGAGCTTCGAAGCGGTAAATGTTTTGATGATTTCTGTTGCTTTGTCAGGGTGGTTTTCTATCTGTGTTTGGGTTCTCTTCCATAGGGCATGTATTTCGGTTTCTATAGTTTGCTTGATGTTTATCAGAGGGGTTTCTGGGTTGGTGGGGCTATCTTCAAAAGTCTTTTCACACCTTCTTTTCCAGATAGTCCATAGGGTTGCCTTTCTTATTTGTGAGAAGAAAAATAATTCAAAGCCCTTGAGGGGAGGGGTTTGTTCTATATCCAGGAGTATGGTGCCAGGGTTTATTTGTACATTTCTGCTAGAGTGTCTGCCCCAGGTTTTCTCAATGTCGAGCCAGAGGGTGTGGGATTTTTCGCATTCGAGAAAACAATGATTTAGAGTTTCGATGGCTTCTAAGTTGCAAACTTTGCACCATGGGGAGTGTTCGGCTCTGTCTTCTTTTCCTCTTCTTTGTGCTAGCCAGTCGTTTACTGGGACTGCTCTGAAAGCAATGAGCCATAGTAGACTTGCCAGTTTGACTGGTTTTGTGCTGAAAATTGTGGTCCCCAAGCATTATCCTAACGGCCATAAACCAGCAAAAAATACCCTGTGGCCAAATCACACAAAAGAACCCTATGGGGCAAACCACCACCAGGCTGGGGAAGAACTGGGGACCATCTTAGCTCAGTGTGCCACGTTTTATCCCCAATCCATGGGTAAACCTGTGACCTCACATACGAGTCCACCCACACCCCTCAGACCCTCCTTCCGCCCACACTCCATCGATGAAGAAAACTATTTCTACTTTCCAGCCACCCATCCCTCTGCACTGCCTTCCAGTCCACAGACAAATGTGGCTGGGATATCCCAAGATTTTGAACTACTCCACGAACTTCAGCAAAAGCATTCATGTTGCCAAAAAAAAAAAAAAAAACATATTGCCAGCATTGTGTTCGACTTGTCCGATATTCTTTTTCTCTCTCTCTCTTTCTTTCTTTCTTTCTTTCTTTYTTTCTTTCTTTCTTTCTCTGTTTGAGTTGTCCGATATTTGATACATCGTGTTTGTTGTCGTGGTAAACACAAAAATCGACCGAAGAAGCAGCGCAGAGTCAAACCATCCTAAAACGAAAGGTTGGCAAACCAAACAATTAACATCATCATTACCGTCATAAATGCTGCCGCCACCTTCGTCCAAGACTCGTTTCCACCAACGGTCACACTTCCACAATCACCATGATCCCACAGATATTATAACGATTTTACAGCGATCAAGGCTTGAGGGGGTTTGGAGTCAAATCCACCGGCCTGAATTGTACGACCACAATGAACAAGACTTGAGAGAGGAAGGAGGACAATGTTTCACGTCCACCAGCGATCGTACAGATATCACAACAATTTCAGGGATCGTACAGATAGCACAACGATCGAACAGATATCATAACGATTTTAGGGATCACAATGATCAAGAGTCAAGAGAGGGAGGATGACAATGTTTCACGTCCACCAGCCCGAAACCACCAATTGAGCAAAATGACAGAGTGCCAGCACACAGCATAGCGCTTGGCAAACAAAGACTGAAATGGAAACCCTGTGGGGATTATACGGACGGATGGCCTTCAGTTTATCAGGCGAAGAATGGAGGTTATAGTAGTGTTATACACTAGGCCGTAAACCCGGTAGGACCGGGGGCCCTCCCCCAACCGGAACCAGAGCGCTCCTACTGGCCAGTCGACCGGGCCGGTTCCCCTCCTGTTGGCCATAGCGCATCATTTTTCATTTTATTTTTTTATTATTATTATTTTAAGCGCAGGGTGTCGTAGAGGCCATGGACTAGACCCACGGTGATTGGTGGCAGCGGCAGCCGGTGGTTGTCCTGACAGGATAGGCCACCTTCCCTACCCTTCCCCACGTTAAATACTCCCAGCACACCCCCTTTTCCCTACTATCCTACCTCAGTGTGACCAGAACTCAGGACCATCACCCTACCAGTATCGAGGACAACTTGGACCAGACAGCAGTGATAAGCGCCAAGGGTCCGTAGCACATCCAATCTGGGGGGTCTCGCCGTTTTTTTTTTGGGCCAGGTGGCCTCCGCGCAGGCTGCGGAGGTCTCCTGGCCCAAAAACAAATCAGACCCGGTCCGGTAGGCCCGCCAAAAAGGCTTGAAAAGGGCAGGCTATCTGGACCGCTGATCTCGAGAGATCGGCAGCTCAGATAGGCCGCCCTTTTGAAAGTTTTTGGGTGTGCTTGCTGAAACCCCACCACTAACACCCTCACCATAAACCCCA